GTATCTTAGTAAGATGGCCCTGTCACAAAACACAGGCAATTAATAGCATAAAGTATACCATGGATATCTTCACCTAAACTTGAATAAAAACAAAGTAAACTAAAATATGGTCTTTGCTCTGCTGGGGCTACACTTTATAACCTCCCTCATCAAGATTCAAGAGACCATCTTTGCTAGAAGCAGCTCTAAACCAAGGAGGATCAATACTACTGGGAACAAGTTTATGAAGGTTCTGTCAGAAAAACTCCAGAGCGCACTGGACCAATGTGAGACCACCATTGTTAATGGTCAATGACTGTCCCGTAGTATACTGAGAATAGTGGAATTGTTACAGTTGTCCTTTCAAGAGCCAACTGGCATTGAGCATTTATTCTGCCTTCTGATAATCCATGTTAACTACAAATAAAATAAAGTCATAATTATTTTATAGCCACTGGGGGAAAAAAAAGAGAATAACCATGTGGCATTTTCATGCTCAGTAGCTTAACACAGAGAAAAACAGTTTAAATATTTTGGTATCTAGACAAAATGGAGTATCATCAGTATGTGGGATTTTTAGTTTTTTGGTATTAACTTCTTGAGTTATCATTGATTCTTCAGTAATATAGATTATGTATTAATAGATGTAGTTATGAATAATGATCATAGGATTTGGTGGGAATAAAAAAAAAAACAAACTTTTTTTTGGAAATCTTCTTTATAATGAACCCAACCCAGCTTCATCAGATCTGAAGAGTTCACCTTTTCTTTATGTAAAATAAATTATTTAACTTGTCCCAATCATGATTACTTATTTATTTATAATATCATTATTTATAAAGACTCAGAGCAGCCTAAAAAATTACATTTGAAACAAAGTGATAAATATTTTGAAAAGGGGAAAAAAGTTGACACAATGGAAAAAATTAGTTCAGAAAATCATGTAACTAGATAATATTTGTACACATATAATATATACCCTGCTAATGACTAGCTGCTAAGGAAAGAGCCCCAAATTGACCCTAAACTTCCTCATAATCAAATGCAAGTGATAAACAAGTTCACGTACATGACTTGTGATGTTCTTGAAACAGAAAAATGTGTTTATTTAGAAGAACAGCTGGTTCTGGCACTGATAACCATGCTACTCACATGTCTGGAGGAGTGAGATCCCTGGAGGATAACAGATATCAGCATCTTTCCAACTTTATTGGCCAGAACCATCACATGACCTCGTCTAATCACAAAGGATCAAGAAATGCAGTCTGACATGTGCCCTTCAAGTTGGAAAACGGTCATACAGTATTAATGAGGCCCACACTAAGGATCGCTCAAAATCACGAGGAGTAGTAGATGCTTGACACTGTCTCTGTTTAAGATACATGAGGTTATTAAAAGGTCTGCATTTTTACTTATTCAATCTAAGCCAATGATATTTCAAAGGTTATTTTGAAATGAAAGTTAGAATAATTCTATTATTAAACATACATTATTAGAACATACTAGTGAATTCAAGTAAGGGGCATGTGCTATCAGTATTGTTCATAGCCACATTTATAACATATTCATGTGTATAACATGATGTGTTTTATGCCATTAAAAATGCTTCAAGTATAGCCAAACTAGCTCACAGCATACGTGCCAACCTCAGTTGGCAACCCTTTGCCAAGTCAGCAGACATGTGCAGTTACAAAATTCAAAGTCGTCTTTCTTAGAAAAAAGTTTTCTAAAGACCTATTAGAAAACTCCTTATATCATGATTATACTTTTTATTTTAAAAACTGACATTTATCTTGGTGTGACATTTTCCTAATCCCTTAATGACTTTTACTTGAAATATCAACATGCAGAGAGAAAAATCACTGTGAATGTAACACTTTCATTTATAAATGTGCTACCATTAGACGACAAGGCTGCCAGTCCCAGTCAGGCTCCAGACCATCTTAAGACCAAGTGTTTTAAAAGCACTGCCTTTGGTGTTATTAGTTTGGTTGATCTTCTCTAAAATTGTATTCACCTGGGTCCTAAAGTATCCAGAAAGTTGTCAGGTCAGTGATCAATGACTATATTTGTTTCTTAATATTTGTTTCTAGTAAATTCAAGGGAAGAACTAGGAGTTACTGACCTAAGTAAGTAACTAGGAAAGGAAACAGAAAATTTTCCAGTACAACAAATAAAGTGTGTTCCTGGATGACACAAGGGTTCTTTTCAAGATAGAAGTAGGCTATTTAGATGTTTATATATTGAATTTTCATATCTCATTTTTAAGACTGAATCAGAGGCATAATGAATATTTGCCTCCATACACTATTTTAAAAATAATAAAAATAGTGAGCTAAATGGTTATTTTAAAAAATGTTTTGCCCTTAACAGGGAATCAAAAGCATCCACAACAAAGTATAAAAAGGAAATTTCACCCTAGTGAAAACTTGTAAACTCAGGTGCCTTTGGGTTTCATTTACCATTTCAAAAACAGTATTTTAAACCTCAATGACCGGCTCTATATCTTAACATAAAACTCACCCAATTCCCTTTCAAGAGGGAGTCCTGGCTGTGATTACATTATCTAATGATCAAAGTGAAAAATTGGATTCCGGACTGACCTCAGCAGGCCAGCTCTTTATGCTTGAATGATATAAGAGACCAACTAACAAGACCTCACCATGCATGGCTTTAAATGTTATTGATAGCCCTAAAGCAAGTCTACCCTTTAAAAAATCCTTTTGTGTGACTGGCCTTGTTATCACCATAGGAGTGACTTACATGCTGTTGGCTCATGATTAATATAGAGAGTTTCCTGTCATCTGTCTTACCTTCATGACATTACCATTTCACTAAATATTCCCCTAGTTTCCACTTTAGCAGAAATGGCATTAAAAAGTGTCAGATGGGTGTTCAAGCTATGTTATATGCTGTCACTAAATAACTCTCTTCATTTTTTATTCCTTTTCATGTAAAATCATTCTAGTTTACATATTGTAGGCACCTTCCAGGACCTCTGATAACTTGTGTTGCCTTTCCACAGATCTTCCCAATCCATCTTCCCAATCAAAGTTCTGAAAGTCCTTGTTCTTTAATGCAGATCTGCGTGTTTTCCATTGAGCAGCAATCCTCAGCCACTGATATGAAATACGGAAACCCAGGCTCCACTCTCAGAAACTCTAATTTGGGATGTCTGTGTGATGGAGCCTAAGAATCCTTGATTTTAAAACTTACAAAGGGAGGGGGAACCAGCAGTTAGCATAATGGCTATGTCGCTGGACTCCCATGTAGTCGACCGTGGTTTGCATCTCGGACCCAGTGGCTTAAAACTCACGCCTGGCGCGTGTGCGTGTGTGCCCAAGATCCCGAGAGGAGAATGGAGGAGAAGGGATTGTGGCATGACCATCCCCCCTGGGGGGGTGATTTCTCGCTTTCTGTCTCTATGTCTCTCTCTGTCTGTCTGGCGAGCGCACGTGCCCTTTAGCGAAAACCTCTCAAAAAAAAAAAGAAAAAGAAAAGAAAAACTTACAAAGGGAGGGACCAGGCAGCGGTATAGTGGTAACAAAACTACCCATTTGGGAAAGGTCCTGGGTTCACATTCTGGGACTTTCCTTAGCACGCTAGGTTTATGTGAGCCTGTATGTGATCTGGGTCAACTGAAAATGCGAGTGGACTATGGCATGAAGACCCTGGGAGGGGAATCTCTCTCTGTGTCTTTCTCTCTCTCAGGAGAAATGAATTAATATACTCTTAAACATTTCCAAGGGAATTCCTGCTTACATCCAGAATTGACAGAATTCGTGGAGAAACTCCCTTGCAAATATAATTTCTGAGTCTTCTCCATTCGTTACTGTACAAAGTCCAAATAAATAGCACCCAAGTAGTCTTTTGGTACCCTGCCTTTATTTTAAGAATTTAGTAAGTCATTTGCAACTTTTTCCTTTTATTTGGCATCATTTCCAGGAAATCAAAAATGGGATCACAAGAATAAATCACCTTTACTTATAACCCGTGCACTTTCTATACACGTTTTCTCCTCCTCCCACAAAGTGAAAACAATATGCACATTCACAGAATATCTAGACCTACCCAGATCCCAAGTAAGTAACTGAAAATCAGAGTTAGGAGACCATGGAATTTGCATAAGAACATTCTCCATCCTTTTATCTGTAAACAAATCCTCTTTTCCCAAACTCAATCTATGAGATAGGATGGGAAAGGTGTAGAGAAGGGTTTCAGAAATATTAGTATATTGGGACCAGCAGTTAGTGTAATGGCTATGTCACTGGACTCCCACCTAGTTGACCGCAGTTTGCATCCCAGACCCGGTGGCTTAAAACTCACGCCAGGCGCGTGTGCGTGCGTGCCCAAGATCCATCCCGAGAGGAGAATGGAGGAGAAAGGATTGCGGCATGGCCATCCCCCCCCACCACCCCGCAAGGGGGATTTCTCGCTTTCTGTCTCTCTGTCTCTGTCTATCTTGTGAGCGCATGTGCCCTATAGCAAAAACCTCTCCAAAAAAAAAAAAAGAAAGAAATATTAGTATATAAATATCCAGTTAAACATGTCTGCATTCCAGCATTGCAACTTCACATTTAATGAGTTCTATTCTGAGGTAGACATTATGCTAAGTACTAAGACTTCAGAGGTCAATAAAATACATATCCAAACACAGGATTTTTTTCCCCCAGGCTTTTGCTATAGAACATGTGCACACATTCTCTGGAGAGAGACAGAGATAGACAGTGAAAAGGAAGAGAGAAATCATTCTCCAAGGGGGAGTGCTCACGTCTCAATTCCTTCTCCTCCATTTTCCTCCTGGGATTCTGGACATTCACACATGTGTGCAGTGTGGTTTTCAGAACCCAAACTGTGGCTAGCCATGTGGGAATCTAGTGCCTTAACCACTAACTAAGCTGCTGAGTTTTTATATTTTAAAAGCCCCTTCCTATGAGCAAGATTTTTCAGTCGCCCTAGTAATTACCTATTTCTCACTAAAATTCTGATTTTGATTCTTTTCTCTTATTTCTCTTTTGCAGATTCTGTTCATGGGAATGATGACTGAGTACTATCACTACTTTTTCACAACCCTGGTAAGCTCATTCCAGTAGAAATATATTCTACCAAGGGGAACATCACACAGTCATTTCAAAGTCAGCCTCACCAGAGTCAAAGGCAGGCTATTGTCATGGTGATTTCTTTCACTTTCCTAAGACTCTGAATCCAGTAATGCTGAGCAGCAGGTTTCTTTCTTTCTTTTTTTAAACTGGTATCAATGCATGTGCATCCAGAGGGATTTAAATAAAATTCCAATAAATAGAAACTACCAAAGTGCAAACTACTCATAAAGAAGCATCATCTACAATTTCTCTATACATTAGAAGCTGCATCCAATTGTGTCTTTGCAGTCTTTGATCTGATGTGGCTTTCTTGTCTGTGTCCAGTAGTAGATAGCTGGGTTAGACAGGGTTCTTCTATCAGGTGTTTGGAAAACTGTCAGAAAAAGGATCTTGGGAGATAATCTTCACATTGAATATGTTAACAATTAAGAAAAACCATGACTTTAACCCTTAGAAATCCAAAAGAAAACTTCAGATGCCTTAAATTTTGAGATATTATCAAATCAGAGGAGAATGATTTAGCATTTAACACATCAAAATGATGTGATAGCTTTCATTTAATCAATTTCAGAAATCAATCAGACATATATACACTCTCATCCTGACACACAAACTCCTCACCCTCACCTCACACACTTCATTTTCTTACTTGAGAAAATATAGAATTAACCACTACGTCCTTTTGAAAAGATCTATTTATCCATTTCTTGCATCATTAAGAGAGATAGAGAGAGAGATACAACACCTACCTCCACAGAGTCTTGGCAGTATGACCCACGTCCCCTCCCCCATCAGGCCTGGATTATGTCACATACACACACCTGGGGAACTAAGGTCTCCGGACACACATTTCCCATGGAGGTCAGTCTCCCAGAGCATTGTACTTTACTGCAGCCCCACTGGCTGGCCTCCAAAACCTCCTTTTCTAACCTGTAACCATCAATCAACTAAAATCTACCCAGAGTCAACTGACAAGTTAGACTGGTGAATGGGGAAATCAAAGAATTTGGACAAAGAACCACACTCACACTATTCATAGAGTCCAGGTTGAGCATCTCTAATCCAGTGATCCAAAATCCAAATGCTCCAAAATATTAAACTTTGTAGGACCAACATGACACCACGATTAAAAATTTCTATCTGACCTCATGTGACAGGTTGCACCACAATTAAAACCACAATATGGGGCCAGCAAGTGGCTTGGGGGTTAAGACACTAGACTCCCACATGTCCAATTACAGTTTGAGTCCTGGACCTGGTGGCTTGCTATCTCAGCTTATCTCTCTATCTTATGAGTGCACATGCTCTATAGAAAAATTTTAAAAATATGTAAATAAAATAAATATTTTTTTTTAAATCTACAATATGAAAATATTATAAAAATGTATCCTTTGGCTATGTGTAGAAATGTACATATGAAGCAAAAGTGAAGTTTGTGTTTAGACTTGTGTCCCATTTCCAAGATATCTCATTTCATACACACACACACACACACACACACACACACACGCACACAAATGCTCCAAGATAAAATCTGTAGCCCAAAACATTTTGAGTCCCAAACATTTTGGATAAGGAATACTCAACCTGTGTTACATTTATTCTTGACTCAGGTATCTCTGAACACATGAAGAAGTGCATGAGATAAATGCTTTGGAATAGTTGTGAAAATTATTACTGCTACAGAGCTTGGGTGGGGAGGTAAAGTCAGGGTGAAAAATTCCTTAACTAAATTTCCCTAGTCTTTCTGCCCCTTTTCTTGCATTCAGATTACATTCTTGCAAAAGTTGAGGGAAACCTTGTGAATTGCTAAGTGTTATACTCTGCTCACAAATAGCCCCTTTACTCCATCACCATGAACACCTGGGCATTATTCGAACCCCAAGTGTACACATCCAGAAATGCTGGTTTTGGAGAAATTTGAGAAAGAATCTGAACAGTAGAACCTACGAAGGCTGGTCTTCAGTGAAGACCTTTGAGGATGAACAAGGTGTACAAGTGTTATTTATGTTCACCCCTCACACTTCTGCTTTTCTCATACAGCACTCAGGTGGTGTTTGCAAATCCCTTTGAGCTTCTTATGTTCTATATCACTAGAAACCCCAAACTGTAGAACAACCTCATGTTGCACATGTATAATGTATTCATTTGAGCATATTCAATTTAAGTACTATCAAACTGTGAGGGATTAGATATGTATTCCAGAAGTTTCTGTCTGACCTTTTATAGCTTTAGTGACTTTCTTTCTATTCATCAAGGGTGCAAATGAATCATTCTTTCCTGGGTCTTATTTTTAAAGTTTGCTTCTTTAATCCTTTTCCTTTGATTCGAACTGCCTTCTGCCCTGCTTTGCTTTTATATTCTTGCCACGCTTGTCCGAGAGTATTAACCAAAGTTAAAGAAAAAGAATTACTTAGTGCAGAGGAAAAAAATATACAGTATTTGTAAAAGCAGGACTCCTCTGATACCGAACTGGGAGCACAGAGTTATACTCTAGATCTACTGCCTAGTCTAAAGTTATCCTGGAAAGGGCAGCAAGGAAAGAAGAGTTATTCAAAAGAATAAATCTGTATTCATCTTCTGCAAATGCAAATCCCTCAGTGTTTCTGAAGGTGCTGCCTGTTATAGCTATCACCACTGATAACGTAACTTGTATTGCACTTTCAGAAAGCAGTTGTATTGTTAGAAAAATTTATCTGTTGAATGTTATTTTGAAAATTTGATTTATTCTGAACCGTGATACATTTTTTTAATTTCTTTTTGTTTTCTTTCTTCTTTTTTTCTGAGAGGTTTTTGCTATAGGGCACGTGCGCTCACCAGACAGACAGCGAGAGACATAGAGACAGAAAGCGAGAAATCACCCCCCAGGGGGGATGGCCACGCCACAATCCCTTCTCCTCCATTCTCCTCTCGGGATCTTGGGCACGCACGCACACGCGCGCGCCGTGAGTTTAAGCCACCAGGTCCGGGACTCAAACCGCAGTCGACTACGTGGGAGTCCAGTGACATAGCCATTACGCTAACTGCTGGTCCCTGAACCACGATATATTTCTAAGACTATCTTTTGAGCATAATCATTTTATATGTAAAAAAGTTGAAATTTTAAAGTAAGTCATTTTAAATGTAATCAACTTAGAAATTTCTAAGAGTAAGTTAAATTGGAATAGGTTAAATTCTTTCCCTGAAACATTATCCAAAAGGAAAGAGCTCTATTAGTAAGATTCTCATTCACACAACCATATGTTCTCGTATGCTCTCTGAAGAGATTCCTTTGGTTTTTATTCTGAGCACCAGCCTGGTGATCATTCATGTCCTCATTGCATAGGATATGAGTTATTTCTAGTGAGCCAGGGGATGGTATTTTTTTCCTGCCGAGAGTGATCTTTCTGCTAAATGCATAGGTGATTTTCACATTTTGTCTTCATGGTGGAGCCCAGAGTAACCTAAAGTAGCAGGATATGATGGCTAAGTGAGATACTGCCACTGGCCAGTGGCTCATCCTCGGGTTGGTCATATTGCCACCTCAGATCCTCAGTCTCCTTATCTATAAAAAAGGACAAGCATTGAACCAAACAGCAAGATCCCCTCAAGTCCCTAAGAATATATCCTAGAAACAGAAACCTTAGCTTCTCAGAATGTCATAGTCTGTACCCGAAAATATACTACAACAGTATTGGCAGTCAAATTCCTCTTCTTGGTTTACCCCAACTCCAACACTATTATAAAAAATAAAAGAGGGGTGTGAAAATGAAGGCTGCTTACTGCCTTAGAGTTTCTCACACAGTATCTGAATGGAAATCAATGAGGAACGTCCTTTCATAGGAATGATGTGTTAACAGCTGCCATTTTCATTTTCATCTATTTGTTGCTTCTGCAATCATAATTCTCTTTTGCCTAAAGGACACTATAAAACTAATTATTTGAGTAATACTAATAAAATTTTTAAAGTGCAAAAAACTAATTATTTTGTTCTTTTATCATTTTTAAATACTGTACAGGACTTATTTGCTTTAGATCTGGAACTCTATAGATACAGTGGTGTAAACATGACCGGATTTCGGCTCCTTAATATCGACAACCCTCATGTATCGGCTATCATTGAGAAGTGGTCCATGGAGAGATTGCAGGCTCCACCCAGGCCAGAGACTGGTCTTCTGGATGGCATGATGACGGTTAGTACTTTTAACATAAACTCATTTGAGACACTGCTTGAATTTCTTAAGGGTTGGGTAAAGGATCTCATATACTTTTAAAACGTGAGGAAAAAGTGTTAAAAGGTATGCCTTGACTTGGATCAGTGAAGAAGTGAGTTTTCTGCAGTATTTTGAAAGGCTGTGTCTGGCTACTATGAAAACTTCCTGACTATACTTGACAAGAATAGCCACCACTGTTAGCCAAATAAACAAAAAGCAGGGGCCGAAGCAAGGGCAGGTGAAGAGAATTTTTATCTCTGGGAATGTGGCTGTGGGGAGGAAGGAGAGAAAGAGGAGAAACAATTTTCAAAAGTTCTGCAAAACTGCCTATAAAAACCATGCAACACCAATTGGCCTCCCTCGCTTCAGTAAATGAAACAGGTGTGGAAAACTGCCAAATTTACATAGTCTCCATGTTCACGTCCTCCCTGTCCTGGATAGGTACAGGCACACCTCTGCAGACTGACAGTGCTTAGCATCAAGCATATGTGGCTCTTGAAGCAGATGCCAAGCCTGCTCCTGACAAGTCAGAGGTGCTTAGTGGGATGGATAAATTACCAGCCGCTTCATCAGAAAGCCTCTTGCTAACATCATTTGTCTGTTTATACCAAGTGCACTTACCCTCACATTATTTCTCTAATGAAATTCCCTGGGTGATGAAGAAAAAGGCAGAAAATAATTTAAAAAATGCTTTCTAGGTGAGAGCAGTGGCATCTATGGGGAAAGATACTGGGAATGCAGCAGGTAATGACATTTTAAATTGGCATAGTACTTCATTCTGTGTTCCTGTCTTTGAGAGAAGCACTCTTGCTTTTAAGATGCAATTTACCAATTTACGATAAAAGTCATATCACAGAGAAATGCACTTGGAATTCTCTTTCTTTCTTTTTCTTATGAGGAACAAATGAAAAGAAGTAAATAAATGAATTAAGTGGTTCTGGGTGATTCTATGTTCAGGGTTCCAGATTGTTTATCAAACCTGAAATAACTCTTAAAAAATACAAAGTGATATGAGAGAAAATAATGAGGAGCATTTTGCTACTACTGAGACTAGAAGTGTTTGAAACAGTGATTTGAATAAGAACATGTAGAGGGACCAGAAGTTAGCGCAATGGCTATGTCGTTAGACTACCATGTAGTTGACCGTGGTTCGAGTCCCGGACCCGGCAGGTTTAAACTTACGCTGGGCACAAGTGTGTGCATGCCCAAGATCCCGAGAGGAGAATGGAGGAGAAGGGATTGTGGCATGGTCATCACCCCTGATTTCTCTCTTTCTGTCTATCTGTCTCTTTCTGTCTCTCTGATGAGTGCACAAACCCTATAGCAAAAACTTCTCCAAAAAAGAAAAGAAAAAAGAAAAAAAAAGAACACATAGAGAATGTTCAAAGACTTCTGAAATGGCATGAGAGGGAGAAAAAGAATGGTTCTGGTTAAAATATCAGTTCTATTGTTCTTCTTCCTGGATTAGTAATTGCAGTTAGCTTGAATACAGTTCAGAATCTTTCACACTCCTCCCTGTCTCTCAGTGAGATTTTTATCACAGGGTGAGCTCTCAACTTGTTTTCACCTGCTGCTTGGAATGTAGCCCTAAAAGAGTTACAGTTTAAAGCTATGTTAGCACAGAGTGTGGATTCATGCCAAATATTAAATATTCATCAAAAGTATGGCTTAATTTACAAAAAAGAAAAAAGCATCTGTGTATTTAATTCTACTGAGCTGACAGAACACTTTGTACATATTGACTAATTTGAAGAAGACTCTAGAACAAGGGAGACAGAGCTGTGGGAGTCAGGCAGAATCAGGCCAAGCATGAGGTGAGGTGATTCTGTTTCCCCGTGGCCAGAAGCTAATGGCAGGCCCCAGGGCAGGGAGCATGGCAGGACGGAGTCCCACAGGATGGAAGAGGCCTTGTACAGTCTCGAGTTTATTACTGCCATTCTGCCTAAGACAAGATGTTCTGGGCATTCTTACTGTTATTATAAACTGTTAAAAAGGTTGTGGGATGTGCCAGACCAGAAGGGGCCAGCTCCCTAGGAGCCTGTTGAAGTGAGTAGAGTAACTACTCTGGTCAGGTCAACACTAGTTAAAAGTGTGATTGAATATTAGAAATTGGATCCAATGGTCAAATAAATATAGCTGTGAAACAGATGACAAAATATATCCTTATTTTATCCCAAGAGTCTGCACTGGCTCTTTGTTTTACTTCTCCTGGATGTGGCTGTTTTGGGGGATGCGGTAACAGTCATGAGAGGTGAAAGAGATACATGAAGACATCAAATGAACTAATTGCTAAGCCAAAAGGGCATACCTTGGTATCTCCAAACCTGGGCTCAATGCTAACATAAAAAACTGTCTCTAAGTTGCTTCTCTCCAACTCTTTCTCTCAGCCTTAAACATAAAAAAACATTGGTTTGGGGCCAGCAGGTAGTGTGGTGGTTAAGGGTGCTGGATGCCCCCGTGGTCAACTGCAGTTCCAGTCCCAGATTTGGTGGCTTGCTTTCTCACTTTCCCTCTTTTTCATTTTGTCCCTCTCTGGTCAAATATAAATAAATAAATACATAAATAAAGTTAGATAAAATAATCTTTAAAAAAGAAGCCATTGTTTTCAATTCCATCCGGTCTCTTTATTGTACTTTACGCCTCATTCATTTTTGCATGTCAAGCACTTGTATGATTCCTATTACCTAACACCTTCCTCTATTCAAGCTGATCAAAAGCCACATAACCAGAGAGACCTTCTGTGAACCATTTTCTAATATAGGAGCTTCTCTCTGTTATTCTCCCTTCCTTTGCCTGTTTTACTTCTTAACCCTTATCACCTGAAATGTTACCTTTTGGTTTGTTTTTTCATTACCTTTCCTTACAAGAATATAAAAACCAGGAGGACAAGGAAATTGTCTCTTTATGTTCTGCACTATCTCCCACAGTAGAAGAGGCCTGGCACAAAGTAATATCTCAATAAATATGCATTTAATAAAGGAATTAATGTAGTACAGAAATATTCATTTAGCTTCTGCTAATACTCAAGACATTTAATGAAAAATATTCTTGTAGCCCTGAAATATTCCTATAGAATTCCAAAGAGAATTACTATAAATAAGAAACATGTGTGGCTAGTAGATATAGAGATTATTCTAAAGAAATCATATTTTTTAGAAATTAGTCATAGACTAACCACTATTAATATTTAAGTAATGTCACTACAATAATAAATTTTTATTTTCTAAAGCCATATGCATTATCCACTCGTCTCCAAGTTGAGTTTCCCTGAACTCCTATACAGTCATACGTCTGGTGTCTCACATTCACGTGCAGATACCTATATGAATATCTAAGAATTACTTTTAAAGTGGAAGGAAAAAATGTGTTTTGACTTCCCTTCTACTTTCATATTGTCCTCTTCAGTATTTTTAATTACTAAAAATTTCTTAAAATGCCATGCACTAAAAAATCTTCAAAGAACATTATTACATAATATCAAAACACATCCAAATCTGATAACAGAGAGGACATGCCTATGTCTAAAAATGGTTGACTCTGTATTTCAGAAAATAGGTTTAATTAAAGAAAAAAAAATATTGACTGTAAAAATAGGGTTAGAATTGAGTTAGTTAATGAAACTGTTACTGAGACAATGGAGTTCAAAAACAGTGAAACTCATTGTTAAAAAAAACTTGAGATTGAAAAAATAAAGAATGTTTTATCAGTTGGAGTATTCATTAACTCAACACAAACTCAGAGTGATTTTTCATAAAATCTACTTTGTTCTCTTTCACTGCATTTAAATTATCTCAGCACTTGGACTGATTCAATCTATTGGCTTTTGCATAGACTGGGGTAAGAGAGTGACCTATTCTCAAATGGATTCTTCTCTGACTGTGGACTAAAATTGTATATTTTTTGTGATGAAAAGCAAGAGGCAGGTGGATTAAGTCGAGAAAGCAAGATCTTTCTGGATAGGAAAGCATAGGCTTAAGTTCAGTCTGTGTCTTCTTAATGGCCTGAGCAAGTTGCTTAGCCTCTGTGACCCTACTTGCTCATTTGTAAATCTGTATATTTCTTTATATGTTACTCTAAAATTACATTAGAAAACAAACGTAAAGTCTCCGTACATAGAATTTAATTGAATTGATGGTATCTGCTGTTTGCCAATTTATAGTCAATAAAAGAACAAAAAACACTCTAAAATACCAAGGCAGAATCCATTTGTTTACAAGAGACACATTCCTTGGCTTGCACATGAAGTAAAAAATGGAGCCTTATGGGACCTGTGTGACCTTTTTATGACCAGCAGAATTATGGGTGCATTTCCCAACTCTATAGATACTCTTCTACCTGCTATTTACTGTCTCTCTCAAAAATTGACAGTTTCATTGATATTTACAATACACCAATGTCTCTGCCAGACTTCACTGGGCCTGCTGAGTTGCTAACCTAATTACTATATTTTCATATTGTTGGTATGTGCTGATATCTCCAACTCATGTCCAAGTCCCATTTTACTTGTGGGTGTCTCTTCTCTACCTCCTGAGGGTTCAGTGCTCAGGAGAGCCAATGCCGCCCCCATTGCTTGGGCTTCCTCCTTAGCAACTACCCTCATTAGCTTGTGCTTCCTGACAGGATTCCTGTAGGCAAAGCACAAGTTCCTCCTACCCTTGTCAAAATCTTCATCACTTCAATAAGATAAGTTTCAGAGAAAAACTAGCCTAGAGGAAAACTAAGTGACAAATATCTGTTTTTTTCTATTTCATACCATGATGTAATACTTGTATTTTAATAAAGGAACCTATTATCACCAAGCTGAAGAGGGAGTTCAAGATAGAAGGGGAAATAGAATTACTTCCTAGAAAACCACTTTGTTCTTCCATATCAAGTAGGTAGACGTTTCCAAATTGGAATAGAAAATCGGAATCTATGCTTTTTTGTACACTTGTTCTTCAAAAAATAGATCTCTCTTCAACACCTAATTTCATTCAGCC